GGTGAGACTCGGCTTCTGCTATCATGTCATGCAATGTGTGGACGATAGGATTCCAAGACAACATGGGAGTCCAATGAAAGAAACCCACACTAAACAGAAGTATACATGGTGGCTTGTGGGGTCCATGAGGAGGATTTCTGCTAAGAAGAGAAGGGGCAGGAGGGGGCTGCTTTTTTAGAAGAGTTGGCATCACGGCAAGATATGGATGGATGAGAGATTTCATCAAGTGAGAACATGCTCAAAAGCAGAGAAGGGACCGAAGTAAAAGGTACACAGCCTTTGGGAGAATACAGTGAATCAGGTGAAGCTGAATTGAGGAGTATACCTCTCTCTCCTCTCTCCCTCCCTTCCTCCTTTCATCCCTCCTTCCCTACCTTTCTTCTTTCCTTCCTCCCTCTTTCTTCGCTTCTTTCCTCTCTTCCTTGTAATATTCTTCCATCCCTTTCTTCCATCCTTCCTGCAACAGTTATGTGCCAGGCACTGGGAATATGTGCTGAACCAAATATTTAGCCTCCTTAATGGAGCTTAGAGTCCAGCCCAATGGGGGCAGGTTTTCTTTCATTAAGAATATAGATTTGGGAGTTAAATAGAGGATCAGCAAGTGACTCACAGCTGGCTATGCAGCTAGAAAGCTGTCTCAGTAGACCAGAAAGACAGTCTTGAAACTTTTATCAAAAAACTGCCATGACACTGAAATGATGGGGTATAGGAGAAGGACATGGCAACCCACTCCAGTATTCTTGCCTAGAGAATCCCGTGGACAGAGGAGCCTGCTGGGCTGCTGTCCATGGGGTTGCACAGAGTTGGACACGACTGAAGCAACTTAGCATACATACGATTAACTGTTATCAGAGTTCAATGAAATTATTACCCAGAATAGTAACAGGGTTGAGAGCATGATCTAGAGGCCAGACTATATAGGTTTATATCTCAACTCCAGTCCTTACTAGGTGTTTTCATTTGGAGCAATTGTTAAGCCTCTCCCTACCTGTTTCCTTATCTGTAAAATGGGGATTGTAATAATACCTCTCTCCTAAGGTAGCCAGGGGAATTAGATGAGTTAATATGTATAACTTCTTAGAAAAGTGCCTGGCACATATTATTCCTGGATGAATACAGGCCATGAATATTAAATTACTTCTTCTATTACACTAAATTAGAATGAACTTCCCAAAGAGGAACCATTTGGTCCCATTTTTTCTAGAAACAATAGTTTCAATAGTTGTGTAGAGGTAAACAGCTTTTCAAGAATATAAAAGAGTTATACACATTCACATATTATAGACTGAAAGAAAATAACAGCAATTATTGGCTTTAAACCAATCTGACTATTGTTACTTTCCTTTCCAAACTTGGGAAGAAATTTAAGTGAAAAAAAAATATATATATATATATACATACTTATGTATGAAATTTTAAAGGAGAAAAAAGTGTGCTCAGCAGTTGACATATTTTGTTCAAGATTCAGAAGTACCTTACAAACTGCAGTCCAAGCCTTCAGTATTATTGGGGTAGAGAGAGAAGCCCCAGGACACTCCTCTACTGTTTTTATTGTCCAAGCTAATGGTCCATTAACACAGTTCCTTTAGTCTGAGCCTGGTAGACAATGAGTGTCTTCCAGGGCAAGGAGTGTTTCCTTGTGGTGGGAAGTAGTAGTATTTTTCCTAGGGGAAGAATGGAAAAATCCCACTTTTTGCACATAATGGTAAAAATAAGAGAGCAGTATACAGTGGGTGAAGAAATTATCAAGATGGTGTCAGTGTTCAAAGAGCAATCTCTAAGTTCATAATTGGTTTCATAAATTTTATTTCAGTAATGGTTTGTCCTCATTAGCTGTTCAGTGAAATAGTGCTAATTTTAAGGTTCATCAGCATATGAAGAATATACATGCACTTTCAGACACACTTGCATATACATTTGCACTATTAGTGAAGTAACAGAAAACCAAAGTTGCAGGGAGCTCATTACAGATTTTGAGCAGTTNTTAGTGAAGTAACAGAAAACCAAAGTTGCAGGGAGCTCATTACAGATTTTGAGCAGTTTGTCCTTCTTTAAAAATAAACTTCAAAAATCTCAAATTACTTCTTATATCCACAACAGAAAAATCATTTCTATGATAGTAAATGATTGAGCCTCCAGGTGTATTGTAATCAAGAGTTGTTCTTTTTTATCCTAGCTTTCTGATATAATTTTAAATGCATTGATTGCAAACAGCCAGACATTTGAATTTTAAACCATTTTAAATTTGGTAACACCAAACAAGTGTGAAGCATCAATGTTTCCTTTTTTTCTTGTTGGGGTCTAGTTGACTTACAATGTTGTGGTAGTTCCATTTGTACAGTAAAGTGATTCAGTTATATATATACATTCTTTTCAGACTCTGTTTCCTTATAGTTCATTGCAAAATATTGAGTACACTTCTCTGTGTTATGCATTAGGTCCTTTCTGGTTATCTATTTTAAGTATATTAGTGTGTATATTTTAATCACAACCTCCTAATTTATCCCTTCCCTCCCCCACCCTTCCCCTTTGGTAAACCATAAATTTGTTTTCTATGACTGTGGGCCTGTTTCTATTTTGTATACAACTTCATTTGTATCAGGGTTTTTTTTTTAAGATTCCAAATATAAGCGATAGCATATGCTTCTCATTTCTAATAAGTCTGTCTTGTTGTTCATTCACCTTTCTCATCAAGGAATGGCTGAGCCTCAAGTTTGGGAAGCCTGCCACCTGAGCACGGTCTCCCTGTCCTGGCAGTCGGCTGACTCTGAGACCCAGAGTCACCAGCTTCCTCATCCCAGGACGCACCGCAGCACCATAAAACCATCCCCCCACCAGTTCTCCCAAATCCGAGTGCCCTCGAGGGTGTCTGTGGCCACCATGTTGTTACTCAATTGTCATGCAGGCAGCCTGGATCAGCTAATTAATTAATAAGCTTAACTGGAGTAAAATATAATTAATTATACAATATTGAACTGTCCAAATTTAACACCACTGAAATTACATAATAAATCTGGAACATAAAGGATTCCTGGCAGAAGGAAAATAGATATCAGTATGTCAAGTGCCTTCCTGGTGAACCCTCTTCACACACTTTTGACTTTCTGACTCCTGTGATGCAGGCATATGTATTTTGAAACCTGTAGCCCATCATGTGAAAACCAAGCACACACATATGCACACACAAATTGGACACCTTTGCCTCATGGGTTTAAATGATGCTTTGTTTCCACCTGTGTGATGTGATTAATAAACTGATAAAGGCTAACAGTGTATACAGACCTGTTAGCAGCCATCTAAGCTGGAGATTAGTTGGAAGCAGTTTTCTATGTTCCTTACCAGGTTGTTGTATTTAATGAGGACTTTAATGGGCATCAAAACTAAACAAGACTACAGACACTGATACTTCACACTTGGCTGGAAACACCAAATTTTAAATGGTTTAAAATTCAAATGCCTAGTCATTTGAAATTAATGTGCTTAATGTTATGTCAGGAAGATAGTGAAAAAAAAATAAAGCTTCAGATACGTGCTCAAAATACAATACTGATTTATTTGTGATGATATAATAATGCAATGATAAAATGATATTAACTAGTTCAGTTATTATTCATGCAAATTTATAAAAATAACCACTTTTCAATAAATTAATCTTCATATTAAAATGATTAAAAATGTCTTCATTATAGAATCCACAAACTTTGTCATTTGGTTCTGGTTTTGTTTTTTTTTTTAAGAGAAACCAGTAAGTGACTTGAGAGAATGAAGTATTTTCAATTCATTTTGATATTTAATCTTTAGCAAATGTAGACTTTATAGTGTCTTAAGAATACACAAGGTTCAAATCATGCTTAAAATCATTATATGTAACTTACTTGTGGTGAGAGACCAAGGCAATGAGGGAGAGAGGGAAGTTATGCGTAGTGAGACTTTCTGGGGATTCGCATATTCACACTCCAGGTAAGTAAAGAGCTTAAGGAGGTGGTCAGATTCACCCAATGGATTCTGACTGTTGAAGCTCATTTGTTTTTTTAAAGGTTATTTAAACTGTTTAGGAATTCTTCTGACAAGCCATATGTTGTAACAGCCACAACTGTCACACCCAAGGAGATTGTGCAGGTTGTTTTGAGTTTCATTGCTTGACTTACTGGTAGACCATAATAGCAATTCTAGCATTGTTTCTGTCTCAGTGATGCAAAAGTGAGAACATGATTAATTAACATGGTTAACGTTAACATGATTGTTAACCCCCTTGAAAGACTGTACAATAAATCCTCTCAAATGTTGATGCTTTGGACACCAAATTATTGTCTCCACTGAATGGTGGTTGCTTATAGTTTGTGAGTTTCAAAGATACTCCTTCAAGTACAAATTCTAAATCTTGACGAGAATGGCTTCATGGATTGCTCGTTAGATAATAAATAGCCAATAATATCTGAGCATATGAAATGTAGCAATAACAGATAACATACAGTTTTATAGTTTCCTTATAATTATTTCAGTGTGTTAAATGACATTTTCACAGATGTTCTTATATAGCTTCTTTATTTACTTTTTACATTTTTTCACAAAAGGAGATACTTCCCTTTTTTTGCAGTAGCCAAATGTATTAAGAGCAAAATAAATTTGCAGGCAGAGGAGTCCTCACCATGTTTCTTCAGAATGCATTTAATTTCATGCATGTGTGAAAGATGACAATGTGATTCCTCGGTACTAAATATTCCTCAGCCATTCACACTCAGTATGGTTATCTGGAATAAAGCTAGATTAAATTTGCAGAGTGGTGAATTACTGAAAATAATGAAGTTGAGTCAATTCATTAATCTTTATCTACTGGTCTATTTTTTATAAACTGAATGAAATGGAAAAAAAATTCATTTGGGGACCGATCAGATTGAAAAGGGTCTAACGTGAAGAGAAACATGGGGCTAAAAATGTTTTTTTTTTCTTTTTAAATTATCCACAGCACTTTTTCTTACATGCCTCTGTTTTTCTTTTAGTGGCAAAGCATTTCTATAACACTGGTTGAGAAAGTTCAGATGATCGCTGTAATTCTAGGATCCCTGTTCTTAATAGCGAGTGTGACCTGGCTCCTCTGGTCAGCCTTCAGCCCCTATGCAGTGTGGCAGAGGAAGGACATCCTTTTTCAGATCTGCTATGGAATGTATGGTTTTATGGATCTAGTGTGCATAGGTAAGACCATGATGTTCAACGCTAACAAACTGTCAGTAATCTGTTTCTTCCAGCTCTTAACCATTTCCATCAGTCGGATCGAACCTAGAATGTGGTGGTTCACGTGATCTTGGTTCTCTAGCTCATTAACTGCCTGGGGCACCACAAACCACCACTTTTCTCAAAAAGCATAGTGTCTCTGTTCCCAAGTAATCTGAAAAAAAAAAAAATGAACAGGATAATGCCCTTTTAAAGTGGTTTATTTTGCATCGTAAAGAAGGAGGAGTTGAAATTATTTGGGGGTGGGCAATGGAAGGATAGTCATTTAATTTCTAAGGAAGAACAGCATCTAAATCCCCCTCACGAAGCTGAGAAGGTGTTGACTAATGTCAATGGCCATAGTGTGCGTCCAGGGAGAACACGGATACCTGGAGGTCTTAGGTCGTGGCCTGGCAACCGCAGACTCCCCGCCCAGGACGTAAAGAACTCCTTGGAAGGGTAAGGACTTGGGGACAGCTTTCCTTGCCATTCTGTGCTGCTTAGTTTCACTTATTACATTTAGTGGTTCAGAAGAGGCAAAGGATGGGACACTTTAGCCAAAATAGACGCTACCGGAAAGGTTCTTTACATGTTTCTCTGGCCCAATCGCACTTCCCTTGTGCCATGGGAAAACAGAAGCCGATTCAGGCAGCATCTCCTTGTTGTGTATGAGGTGCCACAGGCATGCGATGGTGACCACTTGGCACCAGGGGACAGGCATGGGGAGCAGCCGTACTTACCCAGGAGAGCCCCCGCTCCCATGTGGCGCAAGCTTACGGGGTGTAAAACGAGGAAAGTACGGCCCGAGGACCACCCTTGGCCGCAGCAGCATCTGCAGCACCTTGTAAAGAAATGCATGTTCTCAAGACCCGCCCCAGACCTGCCAAATCCAACACTTCAGGGTACCCCCTCTCCAGCCACTGTCTGTGTTCACAAACTCACCGACAGGCAGATGAGGAGAGAGCCACTGGCTTCAGGGCATGGACTCGACCTACGATCAAGTGCCTTGGCTTCTAACCCTGGCCTCTGCTTGGACAGGTCGACCTTGTCTCTCTCTAGTCCTTTTTTTTCCCCCCTCACCTATAAAAATGAGAATAAGCTTCCACAGCACACAGACTTAAATAAAGGAAAAGACTATTATAAAATAATCATGTAACTGGGAATTGTAGATTAAGTGTGTTTAAATAAGACACAAACACTGAAAGACTTGAAATCACTTAAAGTAATGCCTCTACTCACAAAAGCCTTCCAATTAGCAGCAATTTCAATATTCTCAGTCAGTTTTTCTAAGAGAACTTTGTACATTTAAAAACTATGATCAGCTGGAATTTCACCTCTTTTTCTTCTTTTCTCCGTTGTTACTAACACAAGACTAGTAAGAAAGAAAAGTATAAAAATTTCAAGTCAAGAAGGAAAAAAGAATGGAGTAAGATGTCATGAAAAATATGTAAACTGAGCAGATGTGGCCTGAATAATTGGGCTAATCATGTACATGAACAATCTGCATTAAATGTGATAATACATATGTAGGCATTTGGAAATTCCAGCTCTCTATTCAAATAAACCTCTGGGGTATGGCTCTAAATTGAGATGGATTACAGAATTGTTCTACAAATCCCTCAACAAATTCAGAAATAGTGTTTCCTGTCTTTCAACATATAAATGATAAAATGTGCTATTCCACTGATATTTAGAGATGGAAAATGAAAGAACCATTAGGCTCCCAATCTGACCTGAAGGGAAAAGAATTGCAGTTGACTTTATTACAGCTCTGAAAGGGACAGGCCTTTCTTGCTTAGGAAATCATCTTCTTGAATTTCAAAGCTTGCATTTAATATTGAGTTTTTAGATCTTAAAGTTTGATTGCTGATGCCAGTCTTTTAATCAGGATTATTAGGATTCTGGTTTTTTTTTTTTTTTCTTCCAGGATTCTGGTTTTAAGAGCACATACATAGGAACTAATGATCTTTTTAACAACATAAGACGTATTTGGGCCTCCCTTTCAAAATGTAGGTGTTTGCATAAAGTTAAGTTTCTTAGGAAGAAAAACCAGTGGACATTTTCCTGGAGAAGCTTTGGAGAGTGAGTTTTTAATCTAGGTTTTAAATATTGACAATCCTTTTCATTGTCTTTTGGCTCATCGAATCAAAATCCCACCATTCAATGATTTATTTGTATATTTTGAAAAATATTAAAGAATTCAGATTGAACAACAGTGTTTATTTCACTTTGCAATGTCATTAGTGAGACCCAGAAGTGAAATGAAAGTCACTCAGTTGTGTCTGACTCTTTGCCACCCCATGGACTGTAGCCCGTCAGGCCCCTCTGTCCGTGGAATTCTCCAGGCCAAAGTACTGGAATGGGTTGCCATTTCCTTCTCCATTTTGGACCCAGAGAAAAGCTTATTTTTCCCCCCAAGAAATTGGAAACCTATTAGAGTTAGAAAGCAAATACATGTAGGCTACCAACAGCCAGCTGGATCATGGCAGGTAATTATTCCTGCTAACATTTCAAATTAATTAAAATGTCTGCTAACTGAATGTAGACAGTAACAAAGTAGCTTACATTGATTATACCTCAAATACCCATGACTGCAAGACCAGAGTCAGAGTGAAAAGCGTACATCTTTGTGTCCAATTTGTTCAATTCAATCAGCTTTCTAGGTGTCAGACACAGTGCTAAGTGCTGGGAATGCAAATGAGAGCCAGTCACTTTCCTGACCTCTAGGAGCTCCCAGCCACACAGGCAGGACAGATGTAAGTAACTAGAACTCAGCAGGATGTGCAGTGATGGACTTAAGCACAGGAGATGGTAGTTGAACAAAGCAGGGGGAGATTGACACTGGTTGTTTTATGTGGGAAGGGAACTATTTCAGGCAGATTTCATGGGGAAGCAATAGCTGAGCACGCTGATGGATGAAGAGATGCTTGGCACGTGGGGAGATGGTCCCCTTGTCACTACTGGAGGCTGTAAGATTGGCTCCCCATTTGGAAGGCTTTAAGGCGGCTGGAAATATTCCCGTATTCCTGTTCGTCTAAGCTTTTCAAACTTATTTATACCTAAACGGAAAAGGAGCAGATTGACAGCTTCATAAATGTTCTTCTTAAAAAATATTTCTGTGAATTCATAGATTATTCCAGAATCAAAACAATGTGATAGTCCAGTCAGGGTAAGTAATATGTTGTAGTCAGTCAGTCGCTCAGTCGTATCCGACTGTTTGCAACCCCATGGACTGCAGCCCACCAGGCTCCTCTGTCCATGGGATTCTCCAGGCAAGAACACTGGAGTGGGTTGCCACTTCCTCCTCCAGAGGACCTTCCAGACCAAGGGATGGAACCCCCACCTCTGGCGTCTCCTGCATTGGCACCATCCGGGAAGCCCACATAATGTTTAGGAAGAGAACTTGGGGAAATTTACTTATTCCCAAAGTTAATTTGTTATTTTCATTTATCATCAACTAATAGATCTGCTTTCCCAAGATCCAGTTTCTTCTTGCTGTTAAAGTTTTGAATTCTCCCAAAGGTCTGGGTACCGTGATAGTTTAAATACCTAGATCAGGGCTGTCCAGGAGAACTTTCTGCAATGAGTTAAATGTTGTGTATCTGTGTTACCCAGTACTGTAGACACTAGCTCCATTTGTCTGTTGAGCACTTGAAATGTACTTAGTGTGAATGAGAAACTGAATCTTAAATTTAATTTTATTGAAACTTCACTTAACCACCTGTGGCTCGTGGCTACCATATTGGACAGATTTCTAGATGATGGGATGGTAAATGTGTAAGGGTTTGACCGACAAATTTCACCTTGTCTTTATAAGCAGGTTGTACTTCCTAAATGATGAAGTAACTCTGTTTCATGAGATGAATAAAGTGAAAATGAGTGCAAGAGGATTGGGAAAAGGGTATTAACAGTGAAAGGGTGGTGGTCCAGAGGTGGACAGAGAGCTGTCAGAGGGAGCCGTGTTAAGGAAATGGAAGTACAGAGAGATATAACTTTAGCTTATATTTGGGGAGCTCTTTTAAATATTTAAGTAGATGGCATTCAGATGATGACTGTGTACTAGGAAAACTAATATAAAGGATCTAAATCACCAAGATGCTGTAGCCCAGCGGCAGCAATTTAGGGAGAAGTAATAGTCACAGTAGGCTCACAGTGGCTCCCTCCTAAGAAGTTTTACACAGTGGACACAAAAAGATAAGTCAACTCAGAAATTAAAAGCAAATGCCTGGCAGAAGCCTCTGGGCACAGAACCTGGTTCTCAGCTCCATACATGGCACATAGATAAAACAACACTCCCGCTTCTATCGGCCATGTCCCTCTAAGGATGCTTGGACCATGAGAGGAATATGTTTCTGAGTGACTCAAAGAAATGAGGGATTGAGATATGACCATAGGATGTGGAGTCATCTGATGAACTTGCATCTGGAAAGTGACGGCCGTTACCAGGTCCCCTTGGTGTCTGGTGACCCTGAGGAGGCGAGTTCATTCTCTCATAGAAGCAGTAAGCTAGAACGAAAGTCTCATCATGTTCCCTGTTACGTGGGATTCCCAAAGTAGAGGTAGCAGTGCTTATACCTAATTTCATGCACATGCCAGGTTAGTGCCAAAACCACGTCTGGAAGATCTGTATCTTCCTTGGAATGATAAGGGGAGGGTGATGAGGGTTATGGCTACAAAATTTAGAAATCTGGATCACTGTTGTTCTTTTAAAAAATTTTGTTAGTCATCCATATAATATAAATATACACATACTCAGATTAAAACACCTTTCGTGTTTACAATTGCGAAATATATAAAGTTTAAAAAAAAGACTTTCCCTCCCATTGCCCTTTTTCATGTCACTGCCTGTGCAGAAATGTCCCCTCTCCAAGGTTGACATATATCTTCGAGATCTTTTTCACAGTTTCCTTTTTTGACATGGTGATCAGTAGTTTGGGTTGCATTTAACACCATTAGAGTGGTTTTCTTAAAATCCATTCTAT